GTTTCTGAATCCGAGCAGCTTACGTGTGTAAATTGACTCACATGTAAATGCTACGGAATTACTTTAAAACCTCAAATGTTAAAATATAACGAAGAACAGGCATGGGTATTCACAGCAAATAATACGTGTATGACAATACCTAAGAAAAAGTGAAAAATTGCAGTTGTCCAATGTTATTGATTTCAGATTTAACAGAGTCTTCAATGAAATTAATAAAGACACAATTGGAGTTTCTTTTAAGAAAATAAGATTTTTAACTTAACATAATTTGTAATTGCCTCCGGCTCCGTTAAAACCTTTGTTTTTATAAACCGATTACCATTATTCTAGATTTGAACAGTCGTTGTCGTATGGGTTTGTATCAGCTCTGGCAAGGCCTTCCGTAATCCCCTGATACCTGCCGGTGTATAAAGCTCCTTAAAGAGCATTTATCAGACTTTGTACCAATGGACTGCTAGTAGGCATAATCAATGAAATCGACCCAGCCAGGAAGATAACTCCGAAAAAATGGCTTCTTTTCGAAGCGTGACAAAAGACAGCAATGTTGGATGCTGACAATGAGGAGCTTACTTTTGACAGAGTTGGCTGACAAAAACATTTATTGGTTGCCGGGTGTGGTAACAAGAATTGTTTGGATTTCCAGACGCGTAAAGTCAATGGTCTTGTGGCTTTGTTGAACTTAATCTTTGCTCTTGACTTCCAGGAAAGACTGATTATCTTATTATGGATCTTATCTCCAGTTCCGGAGGTCATTGCTTAGAAGCAAGGAATCATATTCGACCTTTGGATATCATCACAATGGCCTCTGCACAAAGCGCCAAATATAAACTTTTGGTTACATACTTCTATGTCAGTGCTTCAACTGAGGTTTATAGAATACGTGGATGACTCTATGTAAACTTTTGGTTACATACTTCTATGTCAGTGCTTCAACTGAGGTTTATAGAATACGTGGATGACTCTATGACTTAATGTCATAAAGTATTCTGAATTAATGAAGAAGAACGAGGTGGTACTTACCCGAGCTAGAGGTAATGTCGACAATCAACCTTTTGCCGTTTGGTCGGTCACATTTTCCATTCTCAGAAACAGGGAAAACAAGAACTGTTTGGCCTAGTAATCAGCTTGAAGTTAATGTCAAAGGTGCTAGTCATGAACACTCGGTGCTTGCAAGTTCTGATACTAGAGTTTCTTTTTATCTAGAAATAATCAACACTATGCCATCTGGAGACGGAAGTAGATTTCTTTTGATGTTTGAACTTATATGTAAGATTCTCTCGCGGTATATCTCTATAGTCGATCGAGAAAGTTGTCTAAAGTGGCATCATTCATCATATCATGACATGAAATATCATGTGTAAAGAGATTTAAGTCATCAAAGCGAGGCAAGTCTCTTTATGATTTAATTTTGAAAGAAAATTTGATTATCAGTTATAGAGTCGATGAATCGGCATTTTTGCCCTCCAATAGGAGGGGAGTTCACATATGTTAACTAACAGGCTCATTTCATAGGATTATTCATTTTCAGACCACATGCAACTAATATTCATTATTGATCTGGTGGTGAATTATGATAATTGAAGCCCACATAAAGTAATCAAAAAACGCTTAGCTAAGCAAAAGAGAATAGTTTGCAGCTAACTCCTACTGCCATCCGTAACTGCTCCGATATCGGACTGTTTTTAATGCGGAAATGGTCTGTGCAAATGCTTTTTGGACAAGGAGTGTAACCTTAACGTTGGTATTTAACGGAGCAAAGGCTTTATCTTACTTTGACCTTTGAACATATATATTTGTCTTAAATTGTTTTATATTCTCCCCATCTTATAGGGATCCTATGAATATTATTTTATCTCCACAACAAGGAAGTTAGCACACTCAAAACACATAGTCTACCGACTGATCAATCTGTTACTTTCCTCCTAAAAATTCTGACAAGCGTTCTTGACCTATATATCAGTAATATCACTTATCCTACACTTTACTCTGCGTCACAGTTTGTCTACATTTATTATAGGTTTTGGCAGACAGCTTTGATATTATGGTGGCTTCAATCATGTATAAACGAATATTATCATAAAATTTCATCTCAAGTTTTAACTAAGATTTGATAAGGTTTGGTAAAATAATCACAGCGGAATATCACAACGAATACACTGCTCAAGTGATTGGAGTAATCCGAATTCAGCGTTATATCGTATGCGGACTACAACGACATATTACTTATCTAGGATTAATAATCTCGTTTAAATTAAGCACGAATGTGAAATATCTGATACCAATCTGTGACTCGAATTTAGCTGGAAGTGTCCATAAAGCGACTTGAACTTCTTGTCGAAGCTGTAGAAGAGCAATTGACTCCAGATGTGGCTTTCAACCACGAATCATTCCTTGATTATACACAGCTGTTTTTGAATCTATCCGTTTATATGGGGATGTCTTTTGGTAGCAAGTATCTGAAAAAGCTAGTTGCCTAAGGCTGATCAGCAAGGTAAGAAGAGTGATCGTATGATGATCGCTAAGTATATTGAAATAGAAGTAGTATCCTTTTATTTGAAAGTGGAAATTACTTCTTCCCCACTGGATACTTGAGATTTCTACCTTTAAAGTTATTCTTTAGGTCTGAAGTATGAACGGTATCTCGTCCGTACTATTACAACAGACCACTATTTGAGCTTAAGTGAGCTTTGGTGCCAAACCAACCTAACCAATCGTATATACATTAAGCCGTATATATATAGAACAGTTCATCTAGTTCGTTTAGTTTATGAAAAACAGAGTTATGATATCAATAATATTAATAGCAATAATATTGCTTAATGATGTGTAATCAAAATTTACATGTAGATTAGATATATGATATATGTAGCATAGTATATTTCACATAATATTTTTATTTGTTTTTGCCTTAACTATTTTTAGAAAATTTTCGTTTGCATTTAAATATTTCCTCATTGTTCGAAATCAAGTGCAGTAAATAGATTTGCATCAAGTGCACACTCCAAACATACAGCATAATCAATCTGCGGATGGCAGTAACAATAGCACTGCAACTTCAAGAACCAAAGGAGAGCTCCTTTATTGTTGTATATCCGTAATACACAACCATGCGAAGCAATCAATGTAGACGCACTAAGACATTTTGCACCATTGTTCGTTGCGAATGACATGCCACACTCTTGAAATATTGCATGTCAGGCATGTATCAGGCAGGCAAGAATGTAGCCTGGTGCATTCGCAGAAACAATGTCGTCGATGCAGCAACAAATTTTAAAGTCTAAATTACTTTATTACAGCTTTTTATTTATTTTTTTATTATTGTCGTGAAATTTAAACAAATGTGAGTTTGAATGCGGTTTAGTGATAAGCTTTTAAACTTAGTCGATCCGATCACACTAGTGAATAAAATGCATGTACTTTCTGCATTAGTTGAAAGGAACCAACAGAATAAAAGAACGATGCTATCAAAGATGCCAAGGGTGACCTACATGCAGAATTATTCAAGGATGGAATGTCAAACGTTGAAGCCACATGCCAACTCACTGATTGGACTTTAACAGTAAGACTTTCTATTTCGTCGATCCAACATTGACTTGACATTTACACTCCGATGAGTCAATTTTATAGTAGCTTTCGATAACCCAATATGGGATGGTGTCCACGCTGCAGTATTCGGATTCGGTATTCCTTCAAAACTAATAAGCCTCTACAGAATGGCATTAAGCCGTATCTGTAGTTTGTAGAGCTTTTCCCACCGCTAAGACTTGCGCTTTTAGGTTTTTCATCTTACCTATACATCTGAGATTGTTCAGGAACAAAACTCATCCCTATATTTTTGGTTCTTTATGACTTCACAACGACTTCTGGATTTAAATAAACCTTGAACTGTATAAACTTTATTGTGAAAATTATATTGCTCTGCGAATTAACATCCCGCAGCTTCGTTGGTTTGGTTGTGTTGTAAGGATGAATAAAGATTACTTTACCGGAAAATATTTTTGAA